ATCTATATAATCAAAAATATATAAATAATATAAATATATGACTATAATTGCCATTTTTAATTTCTTAATTCTTTTCTAATTTATAAGGGCATTTAATATTTAAAATTTTATATAGCTTATATAAAATAAGAATACAGAATGGAGCGTAATTTCAAATATGTTCTCTAATGGTCCTATGGTTACAAAAAAAAAAAAAAATGTGTTAAATTTATATTAAATATAAAAAGGATGGGTTTTTTGATTATGATACTGTACTTAATTTATATAGAAGTGTCTAAAGTTAATTTTAATATTTAGCATGTCCTTTAGAAAGTATAGGCAGTACAGAGGAAAACCGTACTATGTTTACAACATGTTTAACTTGTAAAAAATAAAAATAGTTAAAATATTTAAATATAATTATATAATATAAGTATTAGATTAAAAAAACGGCTTAAATAACTAATAAGGAGTATTTATAAATAGTTTGCATCATGCTAGAGAAGTTATGTCGCTTTCAATGCAACTTTATACATATGCACATATACTTTATTAATACTTTTAAGGGGATTAAAAAATAATTTAATTTTTAGAAAATAATGTTATTTGGTTTGTTCCAGCTGTCAATGTTGATGGATATGAATACTTAAAATAAAATTTAAATGACGATGATAAAAAATTATATATCAGAAAAAATAGAAAAATTGAAAAGTAATGCGAATATGATTTCTTGTAAGGAATAGATCTAAATAGAAACTACCCGACAGCATTTGGAATTGATGATATAGGAAGTCTCCAGATCAATGTAGTTTAATCTATAGAGGATAATAACCTTTTTCGGCAAAAGAAACCTAAAATATATAAAAATTTCTTGATTAAAGAATAAATATTAAAGTTGCAATGAATTTGCATTCATATGGAAATATGTGGTTGATTCCCTTTAACTATATAAATGATAAGGAAAATAATTTATTGAAATAAATGGAAAAATATTACTTAATTTATTAAGAATTTTTTAATTAAGCCAGTTTTTCTTAAGATGCATTAAAAGGAAATGCTCCATAAATGTTTGATTATGTTGCTAATGGCGAAGCTAGTGATTGGATGCTAAAAGAAAAAAGTTTTTTTATAAAAAAAAAATTATAACATATTTTAATAAAATATAAAGAAATTATAGCTTTAAGTCCAGAAATTGGATCTAAAGTAAATGGTTTTTATCCTGCTCCAAATAAGATTGTCGAAACCCTGGAAATGAATTTGCCTCCTATAATGTATATGATAAATAAGATGAACCATAATCCAATGTTTTTTTTTAAAAAAAATAACAAAATATATTTATTAATAAAAGTATATAACAATTAGGATTATTAGATAATTTAATAGCCAATAAAGCTTTTTATAAAATCGATTTCCAAATAAAGTAATAAGAAGATATTATGCCTGATGATTAAATATTGAATTTGGTATATATTGAAATTTCTAATTAAGGAATTGCAGATATCATAAAAGATAATATACATTTAAATTTGAAATTACAATATTAAATTTAAAATTCAAATTAATATTATTTAAACTTATGTTAAGCTTACAGTATTTAATATGAAGATGTTTATAGGATATAATAATTAAAGAAGATGAAATATTCATAATTTTAATCTTAATTAATTGAATAACATTAAATGATTTCTAATAGTTTAACATAAAAGGAATTAAATAATTATCAAATTTAAATTAAATAAATAAATGGAAGATCATACTTATATTTTATTTTATTAATTTAACATAATCTTCCACTTTATACATAATTAAATATTTAATTAAATATTAATAATAAATAATTGACAGATAAATAGTTATATTTAGATTAAGAAACTATTGACATTTATTATATTGATAATGGATAACTCCTAAGCATGAGATTGATGGTCTTAGTTGCAATTTTAATATTCTTTGATAAATCTATATATTTACTGATTTGATGATGATTAAGTTTAATATTAACTAATTAATTATAATTATTATATTATGATTATAATTTTAATAATAAAAAATTAATTTTTATTCAATATATACTTGAAAGGAATTATGTTTATTTTAAAAATATATATTTAATAATTAATGTTTATATAATTAAAATATTATATTTTACAATTTGGTTTTTTATATATAAAAAAAAACAAAATATATAAACAAAAAAAAAAATTTAATAATTATAATTATAAAAGTATAAATATAATATAATATAAAATTATATATATAGCTAATAATAAATATTACGAATCATTTAATTATTTTTTACAATAAATTTTTCGATTTAAAATAATATTTTTCTGTAAAGATAATATAGCTTCAAACTAATAAAATAAATATTTAGTATATATTTGTTTTTTATTAATTTCAAACAGTTTTGTGCATAAATTGTTTTTTTTTATTTAAAAAATTTATTTCTTTTCAAATAAATTTCTACAATATATATTTATTTATTAATTTTTTGTGAATTAAGAAAAAAATAATATAAATTTAAAAAAGGTTATTAAATTTTATTAAAATATATATTTTATAGACAAATTTATTATACATATTTAAGGATATAATTATATTGAAAATTAAAATTTTTATAATTTTTTGATTTATTTAAAAAATATTTAATTCTTAATTTAGTTATAATAAAGATGTGTAAGCTAATCAAGAAAAAAAAAAATTAAATATAATATTTATTTTAAATTTTGCAAATTTTTATATCTTCATTCTCAATACTTTTTTTTAAGTAAAAAAATTAAAAATCAAAAAAGAATCATACAATTTTATACAGTAAGAATTCCTTAACTGCATTAATTGTTTTTATTATAAAATATATAATATTTATATTAGTATATAATAATTAATACATATATTATATATTTGATTATTTTCCCTAAATATATAATTTATGTTATATATTTTTACCCGAAATATTATGAAATTAAATATAAAAAATTATAATTAATAGTATAAATTTAATCTGAACAGAAGTAATTTTTTAAAAATAACCTTTCCAATGTTCAGTGTAAATTTATTTTAATACGGGGATACGTTTTAAATTATATGATTTTTTTTAAAAAAATAAATATTTTTCATTAATTTCTTATATAAACTTATATAAAGAATTAAAAATTATTAATATGTAAGATTAATCATCATTAATCCAAACCACTGAGTTAAAATAAATATTTTAAATTAATATTAGAGAATAATAAAAATTCAAAACTCCAATTTAAAGACATTTAATAAATGAACTAATAAAATATATATAATTTAATTTTATAACATTTAATTAGAATATATCCTTGAATAAATAGAATATATTTCATTTTTTTTATATTTCTTCTACAATTATTTTTTAGTAACTTGTAGTAAATATATATATCCCAAAGCTAAAATAATTTTTATAAAAATTTCCTACAATATGGCCTTTTTTTATTCCAATATTTTTTTTTCATTAATATGTACAATAATCTATATTTTAAAAATAATGAAAAATAATTTGTAGTTCAAGCTTTTTATTAATAAGGATATTTACTTCAATACTCATATATATGTAATTATAATTGATTATTTCAATTGTAAAATAATATACAAAAAAATAAAATATATAATTATATTACTTTTAATTCAATATTTCCTTCTCCTCTAACAGTTATAATATGATTAGGCTTCTCTTTAGGATTAATAATATAAATTAGCGTTTCATCTAAATCAAGAAAAAGTGTATTACTTTTAGAATCTAATTAATTTATAATATTTAAAAAAAATCTTAGATTTATTTTGAAATAAAATAGTACTTTTAGGCCAATTGACATCAACTTTTTTTGAATTTATGTATTGTTCCGAAGGCTTTTTCAAGCACTATTTTGAATAAACTAAACCTCTATAAGTAAGATTTAAGTGTTTTTTAAAAGTAGTTTCTTATATATAATTAGAAATATTAAATGACAAAACTTATGATTTTTCAAATTATCAATTGCTTAATTATTTGTTTATATTTTTTTTGATTCAGCATTTAAATCAACTTTTCTTAAAAATGATTTTACTATTCTAAAAATTTTTACTTCAAATCTGTTTTTGGAAAGTTATTTTCCAAAAAATTTGATTTAATTTTGCTATACTTGGAGAATTTAATTTTTGCTCTTTTTTTTTCTTATTATCCTTCATTGTTATTTTTTACGATTAGATCGAAAACTTTTAAAAATAGAATGGATTTAATTTGATTTAGATTTCCAATATTAAAAAGAATCAGAATTAATTTAATCAGTAATAATCAGTAGCGTATTCATCAAAAATTTGAAATTTTTTCCTTAAGAATTTTTTTGTTAATTAATCTTTTTTTATTAAGTTAAATTATCTTATTCAATGTCAGAAAAATAATATTAATATATATTTTGAGATATTAAAAGTTAAGATTAAAAATGAAAAACTATAACATTCATTATACATTTATTTAATTTTTATTTTTATTAATGTTTTTAGAATTTTCTTTCTTATTTTATTAATAAATAAATAAAATAAATTTTTAATTCAAACATAAATAAGAGACCGACATTTCTAAATATTCAGTTAGACAAAAATAAAAATTATTTAAATGATATAAATTTAATTATATAATAAAAATTAGTTTTTAAAATATAAACGAATTGATATATGGAAAAAAAATAAAAAATTACAAATATAAATATAATTTTTTAGTATAAATTTATTATAGTAATTTAAATTTGAATAAATAATAAAAATTTACTTAAACAATAATCTTATAAATTTTATTTATTTATAAATATTTAATTATTTATAAATTATAAATTATTTATATAAAGTTAAAATTTTCTCAATTTAATATATTTATTAATATTAATTTTCTTTGAAAATGCCCATATTTTTTTTATTAATTACTCTATAAGATTTTAATTTATTATTTCTAATATTTTTTCAAAAAGAATTTAAGTTATCTAAGAATAAATCATCTTTAATAGTAGTTTATTATTTAAAATAAATCATAAATATTAATATTATAATTATTTTGAAAAATATAATAATTATTTTAAATTAAATATTTAAGATATTGCAATCGCAAATTTTAAAAATTAATGATAATAATAATAATATTTATTCTATAAAAAAAAAATATATACTATAAAAAATAATAAATAAAAAATAAAAATTCTTTAATTATTATTAAATATTTTAAATATAATTTATATTTATATATATTTAAATATATTTAAATATATTTAATATATTTAAATATATTTTTATAAAGAGATATATGTATATAAATATATATTACTTGAATATCTTTAATATATTTATTCTATAATTTTTTTTTTAAAAACATTATCAAAAAATTAAAAAGAATCTTATATCTAAAATATTATTTTATTTTAATTTAGTTATTTTTTTAAAAAATAACTACATTATCAAGTATCATGTATATATAAATATATATATATATATATATATATATATATATATATATATAC